TTTCTTTTATTTTTAGGAAAAATATAAATTAAACTCGTTGACCAAACCCTGCCGGATGGCTATGCGTGAGCTATTCGAACTCCTGTGGACATGACGTAACTAATTACCTACAAGCAACTTACCACTGGCCTTACTACTGCCCTTGGCACACCTGATTCTTCAGGTATGCTGAACACAGGTAAAGGAGGAGCAGAGCTTAGATTAACCGAGGGTCTGTTATCACCCCCTCCACTCTGTCGCCTCCCGATGAAGAAACCCTCCAATGTCTGTTGATTTCTTGAGCTAGAAGGGGATGTCGGGGATCTCCGATTCTGTTGTGATACCCCGCCTCGAATAGGTGAACTTTGAACCGAGTCCATCGGGATCTGGGGAAGTATTGATGTGTTGGAATCTGTGGACATATCTTGATCGCTTCCATCGCTGGCAGCAAACATGGAGGGGCTTTATGATGGTTCCTTTGCGTTCACAAATACATCACTGTCCCATTAGTTCACGTTTATATTTGTATTTACCTACCTCTTGTGTTACATTCTTTTAGATACAGATGTAAACTTTTTTTAAGTTACTCGAATACTGCTAAAACAGCACTTGCTTTTTATGTAATTTTGCTATTTTGATATCGTAAAATAACAATTTCTCGAACAAGATTTCATAATGTCAAATTTTGCGCCAACTTGGGCATCCATCTTGAATTCGGTAAAACTAGATATATGAAAACCCGGCACGTAAGAGTTTATTTTGTTAACAAGTGTATGGGATGATATCGGTATATTCCTAAGATATTAATTTAGATATGTCTTAGGACAAAACTTGATGATCTTAAGAGTTCTTAGAAGGACATAGAATGATAGTTCTTTTGGGAATGTTCAAACTAGGACTGATTTAAAATATTTAAAATAGCTCAGTCTTATTTTTTAATATAAACACGCATTTTAAAGATTCATAATAACACATACAAATTCAATCAGAAATAAATATTCATGTAATTAAAAATTAATGACTGATAAAAAAAATACTTTATGATTAACCCCCCCCCCCAGCTATCTCTGATGAAGAACTTTTGAAAAACATTATCCACAAAGTTAATGATTAACTATTAACACATGATTAAACCAGTAAGGATCATATTAGTAAATGAAAAGATAAAATTGTAAAAGACGTAATAACGACTGAGTAAAAGTCGTTTTGGAAGTGTAAATTGTAAAGTGACTAAAGTCCAGAAAGTCAATACATGTATTGTCATAATGAGAGTCATATATTTACTTTGAATAATGACTTTTCATCGAAAAATACTTTTTTTTTGGGCAAAGTTAAATCTAATTTGACAATTCGAGGCAGGGTCTTTCAATTCAATTATTACTTCTACTAACTTACATTGTACTCACATCTCATAAAATAATTATTTGAAAAATCCACTTGTAAGTGCTCGTGGACAGGATAATCCCTACCCTCAATGTTTGTAATGGAAAGTTACATAATTTCGTAATCATATGCAAATTCCCCAGTTGCATATTACTACTGCTTGGAAACCATAGCACATCGATTCATCTTTTCACATTGAACTATGGATAATCTGCTAGTACTTTCCTGCTTGCACATTCTAAGTGATGCAAGTCCGATCAAATTAAATGAGGATGTTTTATTGGAATAATGACTTTTACATTCATAATACAATTTGACTGTGTTTGAAGAAAGGAATTACACAAAAAAACAAACTTTTAATGCATTTTACATGTTTTATATTTTAATTCATAATGATGAAATAGGCATTTAAAGCAAAACATTACAATTTAAAAATAACTTATCATGCTTATAAAACCAACATGCTCAAGTCACTAAACACAGTTAAAATTGTGTCAGATCAAGTAAATAATGGTGGCTGGGTGATTCTCCAATCCCTGTCTTCATTTCTAGCGTGCTCCTTCAACATGTCCATTATTTCACTTTGATATTCCTCTGGTGTGGGCTTATTTCCCGTTGCCCAGTAATAAATTTCCCAGTCATTACTTGGTTTGTTAATAAGTTTGTCGTATAACTCAACCTGGTGCTCTGTCATATCCCTTAAATATTTCGAAGCAAATGTACTTAAAAGAAGACCATTTTCAAGCATTCCTCTCTTTCTGCTCTGGTAGAGTAGTCGAGCTTTCCTCACTTCAATGTTTTCTCCATGTCGCTCTGCGTATTCCGGAACAGGTATAAATTCCGGCTGATCACTGTTTCCAGACGCTGAACTTGAATATCTTGGAAAGTTTCTGAAGCATCTTACGACAGAAGGTAATCTTAGGAGTCGAGGTAGATTCGACATTTCTATGTCTCTGGTACAACAAAGTTACGCAACCAACTTACGAAAGACAAATCCGAGGAGTTCCGAAAATTTTAACGGGCTTGGTTTTCTCTTTTATCATGCATCTCACAGTTTCCTATTTGATTTCTGAAGAAAAAAATATTGAAAATGGACTAATATTTCAACATTTAGCAAATTTCAATGTTATTGTATGGACATGTAAGTTTTAAAAATAAAAAAGCTCTCAGGGTCGTAAATATGTAGCTTTACTTTTAACGATAGAACATTCTATCTAATAAAATAACACATTGTTACAGTAAGAATGAATTTATGTACATGTATATACAAATCAAATATTTTTTTATCTTTGAATTATAATTGTTTATTAATCTGTTAAAAATGCATGTATTTCATCTTTCTTCTCGGAAGATTTGCTTAATCTACGAGTCAATATGATGGATGTATGATGGGTTACAAAATGGCCTAAATGTTTTGCCATTGAAGAAGACAGAATTATATAATTATGTCTGATGAGAGAAATTTGGACTTACTATTATGATAAATTTGGAATTGGTGGAGTGGAGGAGAGAAAATCATTAGAGACTCTCTAAAGGAAAAACCAATAAGTGTGGAAAAGCTAAGACAGTTTTGTCTGAGATTTGCAATGCCAGCAATGTACAGACATTATGTTTGGAAATAGTTTTAGGTGAGTTCTTTTAGTAAGCTTGAATTACAAAAATTGATACCTTATAGATAATAATAGCTGTTATGATTTATGAATACATGTATATATATCAGAAAATATGTCAACAAGATACTGTATAGGTGAATAATTTCACGGGTTGTTATTTCACGATTTTTTTCTCATCTGACATGGTGCGTTTCTTGAATTTCAGCAGAATGCATATATAATGATAAAAGTTACCTCCCTTGTCTATATCCAGATTATCCATACCATAGCTAAATGTAAACGACATTAATAGCGTTATGTCTTTATTTCACGAAAAACGGGTAGGTTGATATAAAATTGTTAGATTTAATTAAAACAAATGCAGTTTTTAAAGTTCTTCACTCTAAACGTCATATGACTTTCCTATAGATGCTCTTCATATCATGTGCACCCAAGATCTTCAATACAAATCCCCAAAAACCACTGGAGGAAATGAATATGTTTATGTAGTTTGACAAAATAATTCTTTCAACATTTAGTAAGTTCGATATTTTTTTGAACGTTTTTTTAAAACCAAAATGTAAAAAAAAACAATATGCATGTAATGCGGGTAAAAAATACACGTGGTAACATTAGTAACGCACGGGTAATAAAAACCCCATGGCCCACGTGTTTTGATTGATAAAACATGTTTTGGCTATCAAAACAGTTTTTGAACAAAAAAGGGTTTTTTCTGCTGATATGAATTAAAGTAAAGCGTGATAATTAAAATAATTGAATGACAAGTACTACTCGTAATTACTGAAATGGCCATGTAAGTTCATGTAAATGCATATCAATCTATCATATTCTATTCTAAAATTTTCCCAGAAAAAAACATGGAGATTTTTGAAATTTTTTACTGTTTCTTAATTCACGGATTTATTAACCCCGTGAATATAGCGAATATTAACACCCGAGTTATTTCCCCTATACAGTATGATCTTGTTGAATTGTCATCAGTAAATGTTAACATGCAATACTGAATAGCTCTTAGACCTTTTGTCTTCTTCCTATTTCAGATGTTTTGTGTGCAAATTCAGACTCTCATGAATTTCTGATGCAGCAACGGAAACAAAAATACAATGACTTAAATCACGCTGTAAAGCTATTACGATATGTTGATGAAAACACACCTGTAGGTAAAGTCTTCCTCAAAATGTACCTTGTGGAGTCTGGCCAGATTAAATTTGAGCAGTACAAGGTATATTATTATTGAACAGTTATTTATTACTCAATCAGGGTTCTCCCTTAGAATAGAAATAGCAGGGGGCGTTGGGGATTCCTCCCTAAACGGGGGGATGGGGGGAATACCTGGGGGTAGGGGGTTATCTCATCAAAGGCAGGAAAATTTCCAGGCTCCTAGGTCTTGAGGACAACCCCTCTCTATGTACTTGTACATTGGTGCCTTCTTAATCTGGATTACAGGCCTTTAGATAGCTGACAAAAAAATAGGTACGTGTTAAAAAATCTTTTTCATACACCCATTTTTTTAAAAGTCTGATTTAAGAGATCCAAAGGCCTGTGATCTGGAAGCATTTTTTTTTATCCAAAAGGTCTCTTTAAGTTATCTGGATATTTCGTTAATAAGATTTACACGCATGCAAAATAACAATGTTTCAAATATACACAATGTACATGCAGTTAATCGAATTTGTATAAGAATAATTTATTGTACAGTTACAGTTTGCAGACCTCCAATATATGAAATATACATTTTTTACACATTCGCTCGAGGTGGATTTTTTTTTTTTTTTTTAAAAAAGAACAGGACTTTTTATTCTATTTTGAAATTTTAATAAGATTTTCACTTTTGTACTACATTCTTAATGATTGATATGCTTTTTATTCAGTATGATTCAGAGTATGAGGATTTTGTTTCAATAGCAGCAACAATGGCAAATATTTGTGAAGATCTAACTGATGCCTACCTATTTCGTTGAATTTTACAAAATGTACAAGAAATCCAAAGATAGTAATTCCAATCTGGTAAGTTTTTCCACCACTTACATTATTACGGGTATGTTTGAATAAACATGTATACTGGAATACTGCAAGTCACATTTTTTGCATGTAAATTTAAATACCTGTATAGATTAATGTGAACTTAATAAAATGATTTTATTCAGTTTATCATTAAAAAATTGTTTAAATTTTCTAAAAGGTCCAGAAAACAACGCAGAGCCTCAAAACTGAGGATGGAGATGGTAAATTGTTTGACCATTTCCAGAACACTGCCCTTTGGGATTCTCTCCCCTTACCAATGTGGTTTGACAGCTGTTTTGCTGAGGTTCTACCTGAAACATGCCTTGAAAGGTAATAAACCATTAATACAGTCCATATGCTTAATTTCTTAACAAAAAATGACTTAAATGTATATATAATTATGACTATTATATGTATTGTTATCACTTAGTAAAGGGTGCTTCATATCTGACTTTTTCTGGGTCCTTGTACCTCACACAAGGACAGTTAGCTTTAAAGCATATGTAACTACATTTTAAATTCCTAGTTCAGTCAGAGCGTTTCTTCAGCATTGAGATGTTTTTTTCAAGTTATATTGTCAAAATTTGTACATGTATTTTCCTTTGAAAATGTAAATCAAATGTTGGCAAAATTAATAAAAAAAAAATGTATTAGTCAATTTTAAAGATTCAAATTCAATGAAAGTCAAAGAATTGTAAATTGTCTCAGAAAATTAAAAGTTTTGTAAATGTACTTTTGGACCACTCAGAATCTTCATTTGAGAAAAAAAAATTATGAAACAAAATTTGAACCACAAAGCAGAAATAATATATTAATCCCCTGGCAAAGAGCATACATGTATCTATAAATCAAGGCAACATTTGACTTCGATCCTGATGCAAAATGACTATTATGTCATTTCCATTTCACACGGGTAAACTAAAATAAACAAAAACTAAAACACCCAAGCCTGTTACTTTGTTCCTTCCAACTCCATTCCAAGGGGATAAAAATGGAATCCACACTGTAATATAGGGAAAAATTGAACCTTCATTTTCAGTAATGTACTTGATTATATTTAGCTCTTCTGAGCCCAAGGCTCAAAGAGCTAATGCTATGGCCATTTGTGTGGGTGTGCGGTGTCGTAAACTTTTTAGAATATGGGCCATAACTCAAGACCCCTTGGCCAATCAGTACCAAATTTGCCACAGGGTATCCTTGGCCCAAGGGCTACCATTTACACTAAAATAAGGGTTGGGCCCCTTTAAAAACAAGGGGAGATAATCAGGAAAACAAAACCAAAAGTACTGGTTGCTAAAAAATCTTCTTCTCCATAACCACCAGGCAGATTTTCACCAAACTTACATACAAGGATCAAGATATGTCGAAGATTAAAATTTGCTTGGGGAATTACCCTGGGGCAAAGGGCGTGGTCTCATGGTTACTTCAAAGTTGACCTAAATTTACAATTAATAAAAACGTGTATATTTTGCTTACTATAAGGACTAGGATCATCAATTCTTGTAAGTTGATGCATCTTACGACTTTGGCATCATGTTAACTCAAAAGTAGGTCACGGGGACCTTTTTTTTTAAATTTGGGGGGATTTGTTTTCAAATTGATTTGAAGGCATATTTTGGACACTTTAAGGCCTATGATCATCAAACTTTGTCACTTGATGCATCTTGGGCCCTCAAACAATGTCAACTTAAAAGTAAGTCACCGTGTCCTACTTTTTGAACTCTATGACTTATCCTTTTAAAAACATTAAATCCCATTATTTCAGACACTGGGAGGTTTAGAATCATCAAATCTTGTACTTTGATGCATCTTGGAACCTTAAAACATATTTATGAAAAAGTAGGTCACTGTGACCTACTTTTTGAATTTTGCCGACATTTGTTTTCAAATGGTTTAAAACGCACATTTTGATTATCTTCAGACCTATGATCATCAAACTTGGTCAGTAGATGCATCTTGGGTCTTTGAAAAATGTCGACCAAAATGTAGGTCACGATGACCTTCTTTCAACATTTTATGGCTATATTTAAGTATCTTAGGTATTTATTGGCTTAGAATCATCAAACTTTGTGAGTCCATGCATATTTGGTTTTTGGGAAATGACGACCTAAAAGTAGTCACGGTGACCTACTTTTGACATTTTATGGCTTTATTTAAGTATCTCCGGTACTTATTGGCTTAGAATCATCAAACTTTGTGAGTTGATGCATCTTGGGTTTTCGGAGAGTGCGACCAAAAGGTAGGTCATGGTGACCTACTTTTGAATTTTGTGACTATAATTAAGTATCTCAGGCACTTATTGGCTAAGAATCAGCAAACTTTTCAGTTGAGGCATCTTGGGTTTTCGGAGAATGTCGACCAAAAAATATGTCACAGTGACCTACTTTTGAATATCTCAGGTACGTATAAGC